ACAACCCTGAATGTTTCATTAATATTTGAACATTTTCTGTAAAAATTCTTTTGCTGTTCCGGAATATTCGGCACGTTGGGAATAACAAATCGATTTTCATGAATGATTAGCGTTAGTTAGGTAACACTCGGAGAATTTTGATGATTAAAATAACTTTATGCCTGAATGGATGTACGTTTATAAACTCTAGTCATTCTTAACTTTCGGTTCTCACGTTTCGACTTCCGACTCGAATTTTTAATATTGCGAACGCTTAACTTATAATCTTGAATCTTTAGTTCTCGACTTACACTCGATATCGTCGCTGAACGTGAGTGGCATGAGTAACGATAGAAAACGTAAATAGCGGATGACATAATATAAGACAAAGAGATTGTCTCCGTCTCTTTTTCATACGCGATATGGATAACTTTCATTAGTTACTATATAATACTTGACGTCGACAAAACTGTCTCATGAAGCACGCCACGATCTGCCAGCATGAACTATCTATTACACGCGGAACTTGTTATCTAGTAACGCAAAATAAACGGGACATTCTACACGATATATCGGCGCACCGAGGTATTGTTGAAGACGCTTGACCGTAGCATTCACATTTAGATATTCGAAAGGAAGCTTGATAGTAAGGTATCGCCATGTTTCCTTAATTCTATATACGGATTCACTCATCGCGCGAGATACTTTGATCGACGATGGACCAGGCAACGCCTCGGACGATGCTCTAAAGTCACGTCGGAGAGACGGGGAACGACATAATGCAACGGACATGTATCTGGCTCGGTGACGGGGAACATAGTCGCCTTATGTAGTTCCGGGTGACCGAGTTTCCTGCACGACGAGAACTCCTCGTCCGTGCACGTGCTCAAGTCCGAGTCTGATCTCCCAACCATTCGTAGCTAATAAAAGTCATTTTCTGTCTAACCATCCAATTAATCTAAGAACGTTCAAGCATGTTCGTTCTTAAAAAAAAATAACATGATGATAATATCTAGTCTGCACAGAAAAAAAATTTGCAGATTTTAAATAAATACTCCATAGTACCAACGAAATATTTACTAAATGTAAACATATATTTATTCGATTTAAACATAACTGTTTTATTTTGAATAAATATTTATTTACTATAAATAAATATTTCGTTAGTACTATTGAAGTAAATATTTATTTAAAATCTGCAAATTTTTTTTCAGTGTGTATATAATCGATTAAGACTGTAATTTTATATATATATATTTATGATGCTTTGCGTCTCAATTATTTTTATAATATATAATTGTATGATAGAATTCTATTGCTTATAGAGTTAATTCTTGAAATCCCGAGATTTAGAAAATAAAGTTATGGAAATGAGTTTTTTATCAATTCTTTTTAATCCATTTAGTTTTGAGAGACTATAAAATTGATTTGGGATGTTGTGTATGTGACCTCACTCCATGTGGGAGCGGCAGACTTATAATTGGCGAATTTCAAGTTCAATCTTTCATCCCACATACTGATTTTAAATTCGTAATGCGGCTGCGTAAGCGGCTTCCAAGTTGGAGGTTATATATATGACTGACAGCCACATTAATAAATGGAACGTCTATTGTTGCGAATGTTCATGAACAGGAAACCAGACCGAATCTTTAGAATAGGCCAAGACTCACCCAGGGTTGTGGAGTCAATGTTAATCGATTTTATTTCTATGACGTACATATTTATAGTTCCGATATATATGTTTTTGGTAACGCGGAGCACACCGGTGATAAATTCCGCGCCACACACGTGGACCCCGCCGTTTAAAACCCCGTTCTTTTCGTGTCCCCGGTACCAACCCTATTGTTGTTACCGAGTCGAGTCACGAGCCCGCGCTCGCGAATTCTCATTACCATTTGTATCTGCGAGGTACTATCGCTTCACAAGGGCCCAACCTAGTTCCTATTTCCCATTGTACCCGTTTTATATCTATGTATATAGGTGTCTACGGGATCGTGTCGCGACCCTGCGAGTTTTCCTTTAGATTCACTCATCGATCGACCGCTCCATTCTGGGAGAGAAACGACATGTGCAGAAGATACTGAGACACTTGGGTTTAATTCAAGCATCTTTAACTCTAGAATGCTATCGATACATAAATTTTATGTACAAGTAAGCGAAATCATTGAGCGCTACACGTGGAAAAAACTTTGCTGAAATATCTAAAAATTTAATTAGATACAGATCTGAAAATAAATTTGTTGCACTATCAAAATAATTATGCAGGACGCTCAAACTGATTACTATACAATGTCAAAAATTTTTGCAGTATATTCATTGCACATGTTTGAGTTTTCTACATAATTACTTTGATAACAAAATTATGTTCAGTTATGTATCTGCCTAAATTTTTTATACTTTAGTAAAATCGTTTTTTCCGTGTATACCCTGAGTTATTAAGAGGTCCAATCTGTCATGTTAAAAATTGAGATAAACGAAGATAAGTTTTTAAAAATTCTGTCCGTTATTAATTTATACTTCCTGATGATCAGAATTATAACAGAGAGTGATAAATAATTTCAATTTTCGAACAGTTTTGTGTTATTGTATATTTTAAGTTGTTATGAGACACGCAATTGGACTACATGTTCCATATCATTTCAAGACTGATTTTAATAGTGTATACTTATTCTTTCTTTCTTTTTAAGTTAATTAGATTATTTGTGTTTCTATATATAAAAGTCTAGATTATTTTATCATTAAAAGTGAAAAATGTATGAAAAACTTGTATTACACTAATAGCCTATTTTCTTAAAAATTTACATACTGATAGTGATACTATATATGTCATTCAATAACGATAGCATTTTATGGTTAAGTGGAGTACGAATTTCTATATTTGAATATTTCAAATATTGCAACTTCGTTGATATCAAAGATGTTACTACTATAATCTAAGAGTCGCATTCTTAATATCGCATTCTTTCATAGATTTCTTCAGCTATAAAATTTGTCGTTTCTCCAATTTAGTTGCAGTCGACACGCTCCACTTCGATAACTTTGATGGATAATAAAAATAAGTCACGTACACGAAGAGACGGAGTGAAAATCGCAGAGGAGTTTTCCGAGAAAAAAAAATACTTGCCTACTCCTACTTGCATATCCTATCTTGCATATCGGTGAAATTCAATTGCTCCGGTATCTTTGGTACGATAATATATAATCGGATAACGATCGCTGTACGTTACTATGTTCGTTTGTATCCTAAAACGGGAGATCTAACGGATCGGAACAGGAGGCGGTAATAGATAACGGCCGACGGTGAGTGCAGATGCGCTCACTCTATCATCTACCGTATGGCTGTATTCGCGCATGAATTGCTAAGGGATAATGAATACGGAAAAGAGACGGCAATAAATAATGTGCGGCTAGTAATAGATAACAGCTAATGATAAGCATAGACTCGGATTAACGTATATAATTAACATACATGTTAAGTTGAACGAAGAGAATAGGAATGGAAGCGCCTTCTTGCAGGGAAGATTACATAATTTGTCAAGGCAAATAAGGGTTCTTGTTAGGATCTTTGCAAAATGACGGGTGCGAGAGATATAAGTGATAGGGACAATAATTAATGGTAGCTAATAATGAGAAAGACTCAGATTAACGCGCGTGATCAACCTCCACGTTGAAGTTGATCAAAGCGAATGGAAATGTGGAAAGTCTCCTTCGCAGAAGAAATTTTAAACAATTTGCCTAATCTAAAGACAAACAAGGGACCGAAACGATCGATAGATTCGTTTCTAGAGAAAGTTAGAATTCATCAAATATTTATCAGGAAATTTCGCGAGGTCTCCTCTCGATGAAATCGATATTGGAAAGTTTTATTACCCGGAAAAGTGGAACGAATGTCCTTGATCTGTGCACTTTAGTACCTACGGCAACAATCGAAACTAAAGCGATTTTATAGTCACGCATGAGTCGACCTATCGTGAGAGTATTGCGACTGTTTCTCGCATGACCCACTACGTCGTACAAATCGACGATTCCTGACGTGCGGCTTTCAAAGTGCTTCCCTTTTTCTTTCTGAAAATCACAAGATACGACGAGAATCAAAATCAAAATCTCGCGGGGAAGATGAATCAGCCGTTCCGACCTAAACCGATTTCATTGTCTTTCCAGTCGCCAATCTTGCGATCTTGCTATTAAAACGGGTCGTCCTTGAGCGTTGCGCGCTACTGATAAATGATTTACTGCACGATCACTGCCGTAGTAAATTTGCTTCTTCAAACAGGCTTCTTCGACCGACCAAACCGGCTCACTGATCGTCATTCGATACATGGACGAATCACCGTTGTGTCTGGTACACTTACGGGCGATTACTACAATCACGTTGTCGATCGATCGTGTCGAATAGCTGCTTTCGCGAAGTTGCATACAGATTTTCAACTACCGATGTGACTCGGACTTTATAAACTTCACTGTAAAATTCAATTTTCGTTAACATATAATAAATAATATAATTATACAATAATAATAATATAATAAAACAATAAGTGGAAAATGGACCAACAAATAAGGAACAAATAAAACAGAAAGAATCTTATATTCGGTCAAAGCGGATCTTGATGCATAATATTCCTATGTAAGTTTTTAAATACATTTTCAGTTCTATAGTCTGTGTTAATTCGGTTTATCAGACTTAAAATACAAACATAAACTGAAGCCGAAAATAGTATCTCTTATATTGATCAATTTAATAATGATGCTAATAAGCATTTTAAAATATTACAACGAATTTATTGGAAAAAAAGTAAGAAAAGATAAGGTATGATATACCTATAATAATTTTCAATGTGCATTAGAGGTTGAATAAGTATATTCGTAAATATAGCGAGCTATTCTTTTTGTTACAACTTATCACTTCATCGAGCCACTTGAAAGTCATTGAGAGATATTTACAGCTTATGCCGAGGGATATTCATGCGTGCGTGCGAATTATCACTGACGCGACGGCTAATTTCGTAATCTTCAAATTTCAGATGTGGATCATATAACGGGTGACAATTTCTTTGACGTGCTTGATAACGGAGTAATTGTGTGTCGACTGGCAAGAGTTATCCAGGAAAAGGCGAGATCTGCGGTTGAGGCTGGACGGGCGAAGGGAGTAAGTTATTAGAAATCATCCTGTATCTCAATTTAGAGTTTTATATTTTTCATTAATATGATGTGGCGAACAACAATTTCTCTTCTGGAATTATCATATTATATACAATGACATTTAATTATTAAAATACGCCATGTATTATCACTGAAAAAAGTCAGGTAATATTAATCACATTTGTAGTAAATGGTTATATTACTATATTTTCTTAGTTCATATAATTTATTTATACAAACTATACGTTCTTATTACAACTTTATAATACATAATTAAGGCGTTATTTTTCCTCAAATTTCTAATTGCTGATACGACTTTTTTCTCTGTGTATATTAACTAAACATTGGATTGAAATTATTTCATCAAGCTTTATGTAGTAATTATCATCTAGACTTGATTATTACTATGAGACTTTTTCAGCGCACCAAAATGAATTTTGTAATTGAGAATATTTTTGTTTTGACATAACAATGATGAAAGTTTGGAGAAAGGAAAGTTTTGCTCGCAGAAACATAGAGAAATGTTGTTGTAGCCGGCACCAGTGATACGTGGTCGCTGCTGGGAGAATGCAGCCCGTCGCAGCTTCTTTTCTCGCGACAACATGGAGAACTTCATACAATTTTGTCGGCGGCTGGGCGTCCACGAGAATCTTCTCTTCGAAAGCGACGATCTCGGTAAGGACTGGCGCAATTAATTTTAATGCATGCGAATTAAGCAGGGACGGGCTACGCATTCGCTCTATCGGACGACTTTCAACGAGATGGAATTTAAGTGCGCACTCGATTAAGTTGATGAGCGGCGATTAGCGGAAACACTGTAATTGACTCGCACAATCTCGTGGCGGACACGCGTGTAGGAACACTAGGAACGTGTGCCGTATAAATTATGATCCGGCATAAAACGAAGTATGCAAATCGGTTTGATTGTGACGGGAAGCGAGAGTGATTGCCGCGTGGATCGCTCGCGACTCCGAGGAAAGTGGAGCGAATCTGCAGCTCTTCGAAGATTGGCGGAACTTTCCCCGCTTAATCAAGTTTAATTACTATCTAAATAACCAATGAAATAAACAATGCGGTTACATAAATTATGTAACGATATAATCGACCATGACGAAAGCCTTGAGAAAAACGTCTTATTGTGCGTATCGTGAATAGCATTGACCTGAATAAAATCGAGTTCGCCGCGATAATGTATAAATAATAAATGTATCCCAATCCGTAAAATGACACATTTTGTCATTTTGTACATATAATGCACGTACATAATGTGATCAAAAGTTCGTACAACAGAGTCTGATCACGAGCGATTTTGTCAAAATCCTACGCGAAAGAAAGATATCTATGTATTATCTCACTCGTACTTATACTATTACACTCTATAACCTTAATTAAAGTTATATAGTGAGATAATATGATTTGATCGGAATCTTTTGATTTGTTCATTTTTAATCAGAAATTTTTCTCAATATACCTATATCTTTCTCTCTCGTAGGATTTTGACAAAATTATTCATGACTAGTCTCTGTTCTAGGATTTCTAGTGTGATCCATCTCTTTATAGTTTTGCATGGCCAACCACGGAATGTTGTGCTGTGTCTGCTGGAAGTCGCGAGACTGGCAGCTAGATATTCTCTGGAACCGCCTGGACTTGTACAACTCGAGAGGGAAATCGCAGCCGAACAAGAAAGGGATCTTCACTGTTTGTCCGACAGCGGTATATCACACAGCAGCCTCGTCTCTTGGCAGTTCCAGTCACCATCGCCGACCGCAACACCCAGGACACCGCCAGAGAAGATCAAACATAGCAGGTAAACAAGCCATAATTTTCAAGGTTCAATTCACACTTCACTTTTGTCGATAAATACAAATATATCGCTCCCTTTCTTAAAAAATGATAACTTAAAAAACGTGATTTTCTGAATATAACGTGAAAAGTTATCATCATGAATGATTTAATAAATGTTACTCTATTAGTCATCAAAAGTCAGTTAACTTAACTTTATAAAAAATTATCAAAATCATTATAATTAAAGAGAAAGATGATTTAAAAAAAAATCATCAAAATCGTCACTTAAAAAGAATTATTTCTAAGGGTTGTTAAATAAAAAGGACAAAATTACATTTGGTCATGTTAAGAATATATTTTTTTGTTGATGTTATTTGATTATAATAATTTTTTGTCAAGTTGAAGTATAGTTTTTCCTCTCTTCTGGGAAATTTAATTTAAATATATTTTTTTTTAATTATAATTTTTTTTAAGTAAGCGAATGTGTAGTTTTTTTACGTTGCAAACACTATCTCTATAGAATTTCAGAAATAAATGAACGCATTTATTGATAAAAGTGAAATATGAATACGGAGTATTTTGATAAACAAGAACGTGCATAGGCGTAGCTAGGATTTTGTTTAGGGGATTTTGTACTGGGAGAGGAGGGAGAGTAGTATAGACTGTTGAACCTATTTTGTTTTACATTATTATTTTTCATTAATTACTAGCTAGTAAATCACAAAATTACACATATTTAATTGACTAACTTACTTTATTTTTTTTAAATTATAAATTATGATTCTTTGAACTGGAAAAACTTATATTTATAGCACTAGTCGTCTTCTCAGAAAATCTTCTTTTAACTTTCACCTTCAATTCTTTTCTCTTTTCTAAAATTAATTTTTTATGAATATTCATTAATCCGTTTAAGCGGTTTTAATTATTTTTATTCTTTAAGATTTAAGGAGACTACGGTCTCCTCTACCCTCCTTAGCTACGCCCATGAGAGTGTGTCTCACGAATCATCGGGTTGCCTAATCTTGCAACCTATCTTGCACACAATATTCCTCAATGCATTACCTGCAACGTAACGGTCGATAAGCGATGATGTTGCGAGAAGAAACCGAAACTTAACCGTTACGGAATGTATAAGTTATTCGTTCGTATAATTTCTGTTTCACTTACGCGCATCGCATTCAAAACAGCGCCCAGAACTCTGATATATTCCGACTCGTTTACGACGATAGATTTCCCCATCGGGTTAACAGTCACTGACTGAATGGGCAATTCTGCGTGGTGTTATTACGAAGGAAACCTCGAGTCGCGCAACTCTGTAGGAGTGGTTGAATTTTATAGCATATGCAAAGTTTCTGGTGTGTGTGTCGGAACCATTGTGTTATTCTGTAGATAGTTGGGTGGTACCGTTCGCTTTATTGAATTGTTTAGATAATTGTTTTTATTCGGACAGTTCGATAAATCACGAATATATAAAGCCTAATCTACAATGTGTTCTTGTTTTCTGCTTCTTGTTTTTCTCTCTTTGCGATCGTTTCAAGATATTTACTGAATGAAATCTTGTACAATGTATCCCTAAGAATTTTTTATTTCCCAGGTATTTTTGTTAGAAATTCCAGATAAGATTAGAAAATTTTTAATCGAACTTTGAAATAAATTGGAATGCAAATAACGCGAATAAACTATATATTGAAAAGGATAAGTACAACCGTGTAAATGCTATACATAAATATAAAGAACGTCAATAATCGGTCAAAGTTAGATGTTATAATACATATTCCTAATTTTTAAATTCAATTATCTCAGATGTGACTGTGCACCACAATCGATTGTGATTAATGTTCGAACGTTTCGGCGCACAGTCACGTCTGAGATAATTAAATTAAAAAATTGGGAATATGTATTATATTCACATAACATCTAACTTTGACTGATTATTGGCATTCTTTATATTTATGCATATATTGAAAATTATAGTAAAAGACGAGGATTCCACGAGACTGTATTTATCATTTTCTATCTACAATTGATATCGCGAAATCTATAAGTGTAGGAAAGGCAGATTTTTCCAAGTACTAGCACACTCTAAGTTTTATCGATAATCATGTTTGTCAACTTTTATCTCGGACGATAGAAACTAAAGAAACAGAATAAGAAATAAAAAGACAAAAGATACGAAGTGGTAAAAAGCAAGAAATAAGCAAAGAGCACATAGATTAGGTTTAAGAAAGTTAATTTCTCTCGTTAACCCGTTCAACATGTAATAATATTTTGCGAAAGCGTAGGAGAGCTCGACGTAAATCTCAATGTAATTCTAGCTCGGCGTCTGAAGTCACAGCGGGTACACGATGGTTGGACCCGGTAACCGGTGCTGCGCATGAATCTGAAATGCGAAGGTCCGTTAGCGACAACGGGCCGACCGGAAGTGATGGGGTGCCCAGCGACACTACCGAAGATGACTGGTCGCGTGGTAGCGTCGAAGACCCTGACGAGGTGCCGTCACCGTCGAGCTCGCCATCACCGTCGTCGGCCGAACCACCGGAACACACTGGGCCGATAACAGAACTCGATCGCAAGGTATCAGAATGCCCCATTTTCACTTACAATGCAATATCCCAGTAATAGATTCTTCGATAAGTTTCGAATGCATTCTGCTCTGATACAAAAGTCCTCCATATTCAATGACATTGTCGAGAATATCTCTTTGAATTTCATTTAACAGTTTCCAACAAAATTTGAATTATCGAAGAAGCATTTTTTTTTACTGGGAACGAAACTCCGATTTTGAAAGATTAAGATAATAATATAGAGGAAGCTGCCTTCTTCCGTGTCGCACGAAGAAATGCATATGCGGAAGATTGAATAATTTATATCCTTCCTATTAATGTTAATGTAGCTTCACCGATGTATTCTACGCACGCGTTGTTTTAGTCGTTACCTTCGCATGTCGTTGAGAAAACCTTAGTCCTACGTGTTATTACAGACGTTGCGCTTGCATTATAATCATTATCGTACGAGAGGGAAGAAAGGTGTACGGACGATGGAAATCGGTGTTTTCTCGTATATGTTTTCCACGCATGCATCTGCACGCGCGTGTCGGATTCCTGAGTGCCTAACGGCGGAAGTTACGCGCCGCGGCGTATCTTCGGCCCTTTGCTCCTCGCTGCGACGACACATCGAGGCGATTTATCTCGCGTGACAGTCGATCATTCTTCGTTCGTCCGACAATAACGAAGGCGGGCGGTCCGATGCACAAAAAATGCCCGCCTGAATATATACCCGGTATCCTTTCGTTTTGAGCGTACCTCTCTCATCGATATCTCCAGCATCGCGTGCTTCTGTCTACAGGTGCGAAGAGCCACCGAGGCCGTCCAGAGACTCTGCCAGTGCCCGTCGAATAAGTGCTCCAAGCTGAAGGTGCGCAAAGTCGGCGAAGGCCGCTATCATATCGCGGGACGTAACGTTTTTATCAGAGTAAGTACAATACATCTATCTTCATAAAATTCATATTTCTCTTGCGAAGTTAAAACTACCAAAATCGATATTATATCGTTGCGTTGACAGAAAAGTGATATATCTCACAAATTAACAACTTTCCAGTAGAGCATTTTTTAAATTCTGAATTGGAACATTTTAATTAAAGATAGTGAATATTGCATAACTTCACTTTCGTTTCTATTATACCTTCAATTATAATTTAATTATACATGGAGATAAAAGTTTTTGGATACGATTCCAAAAAAGACTATAAATTATAGATAATTATAGTAATAGTAATCGTTTTTGCATAATAATAACTATTATTTGTAGTCATTTTTAGTGCCAACTATATTTGTTGATAATATTATTTGATAATACTATACATATTATTATTAACAATATAACAATAATAACCATAATAATTATGGTAACATATAAATATAATTACAAGAAACCGAAAAATTTTTCTCTCCATGTATAATTGAATTATAATTGAAGGTATAATAGGAAACGAAAGTGAAGTTATGCATATTCAATATCTTAATTAAAATGTTCCAATTCAGAATTTAAAAAATGCTCTACTGGAAAGTTGTTAATTTGTGAGGTATATTACTTTCTCTCAGTGTATTCGTTAAAGTTTAAAACTATATCATGAGTTTTCAAAATTTGAACATTACAACCTCAATATTTATTAGGACTTTTCTATCAACATGATATGTGTTAAATGTTATTATTATAAAAATTCTACACGGGAAGAACTGTTTTGCTAAAGTATCTAAAAATTTAGCTAGATACAGATTTGAAAATAATTTTTTGTTAGACTATTAAAATAATTATATAGAACTCAAGCTTATTGCTAGAATGTCCAAACTTTTTGCATTGTTCAGTACATTCAAGCATCCTACATTTTGATGGTTTGACAAAATATTTTCAGTCAAATTTTTAATTTAGTTAAATTTAAATACTTAATCATTCTTTCTGTATGAAGTTTCGAGTTGTTCTCATACAATATTTTGAGTTGTTCCTCAAAGTCATGTCCCACGCGATTCGAAAGCTCCTTTCTCCGAAACTTGAGATCTCTCCCTTTTTCTCTTATTCCCATCATGTCGCGGTGACCATGCCAGCCACTAATGACCGCGCCGCTGACGTGTTCGCAGCTTCTCAAGGGGAGACACATGATGGTGAGAGTGGGCGGCGGATGGGACACTCTGGAGCATTTTCTGGCGAGGCACGATCCCTGTCAGGTGAGGGTCCTCAACCGCGAGGGCACGCCGCCACCCGCTCGTGGCACCAAGCACGACAGCTTCTTGCACATTCGCGCCAAGTATCGCAGCCCGCCGTCGGAGGCGAGCCTCTCACGTCGGTCGCTAGCCTGAGAAGCACGTAGTGCCTAATCATGCGCCCACGATCACGCGGCGTGGGCCCCTCGGGCCCCACGTGGCATAAAGCTGCACGCACGCTTGGCGCACGTGCGAATTGATATATCCCGGTACACAAGCGGTACCGCTATCACATCCCGCCGGGCACGTCGATAGGACGTCCCATCGGCCTGTTACGCATCAAGCGACACGGTGAAACGACGCGTGGCGGTTCAGGTTGCCGTAAGAACGGCAATACGCATCCATCGCATGATTTTTCACGCACGATACATTCCTTCTTTTCCAACTACGTTCGATGAGTTGGCGATTTTGAGGGAAGAGAGAGAGAGAGGCACCGCAAGAGTCGCCTTTAAGCGCCTTGCGATCATTTATGCACATTCCCGATATTCATACGCTATTTACGAGTTCTCTCTACGGCGAGAAATCATCGGTACACGCACCGCCTATACGCCGGTTCGCAAAGAGATACCTCTCACCACTCTCGTACCTAATCTCGTACATCCCGAATTGCGCGTACAATTTCTTATGTGTAACCATGTAATATGTTGATCACGGTATAGAGAAGCACAGGGATCGCTATTTTTACTAAGTCCGTATGTCAGGTGGTTGAAGAGCATGCAAGTGTCAAAGAGCATCCTCGCAGACGCACCACACGTCGCGATTTTTAAGACTATAATCTACAGTGTGCTCTTTGCTTCCTGTTTCTTGTTTTTTCTTTTACCACTTTTTACCTTTTATCCTGTTTCTTTCTTTTCTGTCGCTCGAGACAAAAGTTGACAAACTTCGGAAGAGGTAAGAAACACGTGACAAGAAACACGATTGTCGATAAAAGTGGCGAAGAAGGAAGAAGGCAAGAAGTAAAAACAAGAAACAGGAAGTAAATAGCACATCGTAGATTAGCGTTTAAGGAGAACGAATAGTCAGAGTTCTGTATCTAAAGCCGTAATCACACTATGGTCTGTTGCGATTCTTGATTGATGGTTCTATTTTAGCCAATCACGATGCAGCTAGTCCGTACACACTAAAATAGAACTGTTAAACCATACGGCAACCATAACTGATAATCTGTAGTGCGATTACGGCTTAAGAATCGGCATCTGCGATTCAGAAGACTTTGACTATTTGAATTTTTATGCATTATCGCATCAGGAATCAATCAACTATGTGCTTTCATCTCGAATTTTCAAGGCACTAATTTTTGCAGCGTCTATCTGGAAGTTCTTCGACCAGCAAGTGCGCTGCACTCGGTAATGGTAGCATTAAGACCGCAATGACCAAACTTTATTTTCGAAATCGTGTAATCACGATAATAATTATACTAATAATGCAAATAATAATAAGAACTTTTTTGAATAAACTTAAGCTCAAGTGTACTGCGCTTCATGAGCTTCTACGTGCAATAAAAAGAATAAAAGTGCAATTAAAATCTCAGGTAGAGAATCGTCCGTGTCATGCCTTAGAAAAGATCAATTAATCTTTTTTTTTCTTTTAAGGAAGTTTCTTTTGCAATGCTAATATATACCGTTTTCTTTTGACGTAACAATCACAGCGGCTTTAACAAAAATTTCATAGTCGAACTAGATAATACCATTACATTTTATTATTGATGTTGTAATGTAGTTTTTAATATTCAACTCTATTTCACTCTCAACTGCGTTTTGGTCATTGCTATATATCCTATAAACTAATATATTCTTACAGTGCACTGCCATTTTACGGCGAGCACGCGATCAGGCACTTATATATTATAATAATCAACAGGGTCGGCTTAATTTTCTGTGTATAATTTTCTCACACATCTGAATTGCAGGAATCGCCTATAACGTATAATTTGCCGAGCAGGCTCGATAATTGAATTTTTCTTTGCGTATAAACTGTATTACTAATATTTACGTAATGATATATCATTGAAGATTGATATATTTATATTTAACAAGAGTGCTTCTTAAAGTATACGTTAGCAATTTTTCGTAATTTTATTTCAGTTGTGATGTCTTGTGATTTTTTCATTTCCGACCCTTAAATTCAGATACACATTAGCATTCGATTAATATCTAATACAACTTGTATCGCCTAATATGTAAAATGCTTCATGATAATTGCCACGATGTACACATCTACACACATATGTTTTGTACTTTTATATGAATATCTACGGTAAGTTAAGGGAAATAATATGGTCGGCATATTACCGAGATAATTAAACCATACAATTATTCCGCTTACAGAAGTGCAAGAGCACAGTGTGCAAAGGAATACCAAAGCAAAGAAACACGCGACGAGTAATGTCGGCTCGTTGAAGCTAATTAAACCATCATCCGTGATCCGTTTATCATGCATGTCAGTTGCGTCGGAAGACTGTGGTTGTGTTTTCACGAAAATTGATGTCTTTTACGAAAATAATCCGTTCACGGCGTTCCATCATCCTTTGCGAAATAGAATCAGTGTTAAATTGCGATTTGCACTGTAATGCAATAAGCTTAAGTTTAGCGAGCTATTACTGGATACAGGGCCTTATGTTACTGCAGATACGATTACTTTGCGAAGAGAGTTATTTTTTAACTTAAAACCGCCCTGCCTAATTAAAATAATTTTCGCCATATTATGTAATTGTATTGTAAATAATACGTCGCTCTGACATATCAACAGATAAGTGATTTAAGTTAATCGTACCTGCTTTATACCACGGATTTTGCGTATAAACTGTATGATCCATATATCTAATAAGTTATTTATATATATATATAACTTGTCAAGCGCCTTTTTATTATTATAGATTACGTTATTGATATTGCGTTAACATGCGATGCGTAAAGCAGAAGAAACTATGTTTTGATGATATTAAACTGTTATAAATTTATTTGGGTTATCATTTATAGTAGAATACTGAAGCAGAATAATATTGATAAACGTGTATTTTAAAACAAATTATTGTCTATATATTGTTTCGTCGTAATCATTCGGCTATTAATAAAATATTACGATAGAATTGTATTGCATATATGTATGTTTAGTCTTTGTTCATAATAACTGCACAGGCTTTCGCAAATTTTAAGATTTTGTCTAATATGCGGGATATATTGTACGCAACATTTATCTTAATCTATTCAACTAAGTTCAAAACTATTATGTCGGTTGTTATATTTTGTTGAACAATAAAATATCTGACAGTAAAATATTTTTGAAAATTTTATGATTAACACATCTCACTACATATGTTTTTTATCCTGCAAATGCGATTATCATCCACTCAACTACTACAATTCCTACGATTTTTGGAATCGTAGTATTTAGGAAATTTTTGTTTCCCAAATACTACGATTCCGGAAAACGAAAATAGTTTCGCTTGATATTATACGCAACATAAAATATTCATTAGATATTAAGAGTATGTTGTTTTCCTCGCCAGTTATCCGTAACTATTCTTTTTTTGTTTTTATTTCGATCTTGCTAAGGTCTTATTACGACAATATTATTTACAATAGCGACATAGCTATTGTAAAATTATTTTTAATTGATAATTATATAGGAAAGGGATATTCTATTTTAATTTGTATACTAAACATATATTTCGTATAAAATCAAATTCATTACAAATTAATTTAAAAATATATGTTTGATTAAACATTAGTCTTTGTTAGAGTATTATTTCTAGATAATACGAAACATATGCGACTTAAGAGTATATTCCTAAAAAAAATTTTTGGTATATATTTAATATATACGAAATATTTATAAAAATGTGCTATAATAAAATAAAATAATATAATGTCAGGTATACATATACATAATTAAAAAATAATACTATTATTGGATATTGCAGTTAAAATGCATGGTCATATTCAAATGGTATAAAAAGATGTCGTCATGATGAGATACGTTTTACTTTTTTTTGCTTTTGCCTAATGTTAGCGTATGATGTTGGGGTTGCTGCGCAAACTGCGCTTTTCGTCTGTTGAATTCCAATATATCATCCTCAAGTTTCTTACGACTGTCCTCTAATTTCTTCTTTTCCTCAGTATGATCTTTCTTTAGCTTATCGAATTTACTATGTAGCTATATGTATAAAAAAATCAATAAACATTAGTATTAATTAATAGCTGTAATAATAAACAGTTGGACTTATACACATATACTTAAAACAAGGTTACCTCTTTTTCTGCTTCTTTCAATTCAGCTTCTTTTTCTTTTACTCGAGCGACAAACATTTGGCGCATCTCGTCTTCTTTTTGTTGCAATTCTTGCAAATGAATGGATCTCTTCGCTTCGCACGTCTGTTGAAAACTTACAGGTTTGTTATCGCTATCAACGTCACTAAAGCCCATCTGAAAATTCACGATAAGAAGTTTTAAGAAAAAGATAACTTTTTGTTTTTTCTGACAAAAACAACGAAACATACTTGTTCTAATCTCTTTTTCCGGTAGAGTTCATAATGGCGACAATGCGTTTTTTCGCGCATATCTTCCATATTAGTACTTATCAGCATTTCACGTAGTTTTACGAAGTCACAATGAGATTCATTTTCGACTATAACATAAAGGATATTTAATGTTTCAGCTCATTTCTTCAAATATAAATGTAACAAATAAAATTCATAAGCCTTACCTTGAACTGTACCCCATGGATATTGACGAGAACGCATCATTTTATTGCCGACGCGAACGAAATCGGTACTGCCGACAACAGCAAAAGGTACATGAGTGTTCATAGTGACGTTTATATCTGCTACGGTTTCATCATCGGTTGGAAACTGATAAATATGTATTCCATTGTTTTGCAACTCGGATATTATTTTACTCTGAAATACAAATATTATAATAAGATTATAATATTCAATATATAACACAAATATGTAGACAAAAATAATTTCAGTGGAAATGCCACAAACCTTAAATTTCTGTAGCTCAGTCTTTGATATGGTATCTGCTTTAGCGATAATTGGAATGATGTTAACTTTGGTATCCAGTTTCTTCATACATACTAGATCAATAGATTTCAAGCTAAAAATATAAGGATGTATGTAAAAATTAAAGAAACTTTCATAATTCACTAATACAGAGCTTCGCGGCCATAAATATAAAGCCCTCAATTTATTTTCTCAAAAAAGTATTGGCAATAATAAAAGTCAAAGGAGGGCTAATAAAATATTAATAGTGTTATAAAAATATTACTTTTCAATAAAACGGTCTTTTAATTTTTTTCATTTAGATATAGAACGTTCACAACAATTTTTAGAGGTACTTTATACTTTATGGCCAAGGCTGTATGTAATTAGTTTAACGATACACACAAAAATTATGATACACACTTACCCATGGCCAGTAGGACATATAAAATATAGGCAAATATGGATGCGACTGTCATGATAGGTTGCCAGATTACGTTTGATTTTTAACTCTTCCTGTAAATAAGCTTCAAACTGTGAATCTATATAATCGACGACTGCTTTGAAGCTGTCTTCTTTATTGATTTGATCACCATAACCGACTGTATCAACGATCGTCAGTTTCAATCTGACATTGCTCTCTTGCAATTCGTAAGTATGTGCCTTAAGTTTTACGGATGGTAGATTATGAGGGCTAGGACTAGATTCAAAGCTTGTGTTAAAAAGGGAATCCATGAGTGTAGATTTCCCGAGTCCAGTTTCACCTATTCAAATAAATTAAAACTAGTATATTTGTTACAAATTATTTAACTCAACACCTAATGTAATAGAACTCATTAAGATGAGGTTAACACTTCGTACCAATGCAGAGAATGTTGAATAAAAATCCATTTTGCACTGATTTATTCACCAACTGAGTAGGTAGACTGTCAAATCCAACGTGACCAGACAATTTCAGCGTACGTAGCATACACTCGATCTAATCACAAAAATTACATGTCGGTATTATAATTCTCACAGAGAGAGAGAGAGAGAGAGAGAGAGAACCAAGAGAAGAAGCAATAGAAAGAAGAAAGGAAGGTATATCCATAAATGGATGAAATAGATGCATGAAGGAATGTTCAATTCAATGTACAGTTATGATGCCTGACAGCCAACACCCTTGGCTATGACAACATATGACTCATAGATTTGATTTAAATATCCAATCGTATTCGTACACATATAAAACGTAAAAAAAATGCTCCACAAGAAAAAGGAAGAGAAAGAAGAAAGAGGGAGTACTCGCGGCCAACGAGAAGGAATGTATTGATTATTTCGCGAGATAGCAAAGTACTTTAAACATTGCCCGGGCGGAAATTCGTCAAACGAGAATGCACGTCGACAGAGACACGAAATTGGAGGATGACGCGAGTTTCGGCCGTTCAACGAAACCGCGTCGGTCGCGTCGGGGAGCGGCATGCGACGAGCGAGGAAATATTATTGCAGTACCTTAGCGCGGTCAATATCCTCCGTCGCCATTTTTCTTACGATTCCGCTGCGAACGCCACGAGACGGGAACAAACACTTTTCGACGGCGACGGAAGCCGTAATCATCAGCCGTGATCCACGGCGAGCCTCAAATGGCTCAAATCGGAGTATGCATACGCCACTATGCGCCACCGGCTGACGCGAAATGCCGCCGGTAGGGCGCAGCACCGGTCTGTCCGACGACCAATCAAAGTCCGCCTTCAAGTTGAACCCGTAAATTGGTCGTTCGGCTTGCGCGTCGCGAATTCCGTCGCCGCGATAATTGGCGACGAGCAGTAATGCGAGATTAGTCTTTGATTAATTAGCAACGAATCTGGCTGAAGCGTGAAATTTAAAAGGAGAAACTTGAATTTTTGGAAAGATTATTCCAAAAACGTGACTGCCGATTCTCTCGCGCGACTCTCTTTTTATTTTTATGTAAATGCGTATTTATATTGATTGCGATGTTTAATATTATTCCAAATTCTTTTTTGAAAGATAAATATCTCAAATTGTACAGACGATTCGTTGATGATCGACGTCGTTCCTTTAGCGATACGCTTCTTAGGCCGGAATCAGACTACGCATTGAAGATCAAGATTGAAGATTGAAGAATGAAATTTGACCAATAAGGACAAAGAAATTTTAGCTCCTTTCGTTTCGATTGGCCAAATTTGAATTTTTCAATTTTCAATCTCAAGTTTAGAGGATGCTCCCAAATCCGTCGGAGAAAGTGACGTCCCACGAGTATCAAGACTCGATGATTGAATAGTCCGATGAACCAGTTTATCAGAAAGGCCCTTATAATGTCAGTGTCTACGAAAGCTAACTGTAGACTTCTTATCAAATTTGATATTGGCTCGCACAACTGACTGCCGGTTTTCTTCTAATTTCATCCATGATGTAAGAATACAAGG